ATTGAGTTGGGCGTGGCACTTCCGGGTTTAATTACTCATTATTGACATTTTTGGCCAGGGACATAACTCGCAAAGTATACATTTGTTCAAAATGGAACTTTGCATACAATTACCTCATATTGTGAGCCACTTTGTCTTAGAATATCGTTTGTTTCCGCTTCTTAGTTCAAAAAAAGGAACAGGTTTTGGAAATTGAAAATTTTCAATTTTTGACCTTGACCTTTGTTGACCTTGACCTTTGTAGGATCAAACGTCATTGGCATTGGCTATCTATTTGTACTTTCATATTTGCTGTCCTATGTCAACTTCCGGTTTTATAGTCGTGTGCAATTTGAAATTTTGATGACGTATATCTCTTGATCTTGACCTTTTTAGACTTTCTCTTTTACAAGATCAAAGGTCATTGACCTTGGCTATCTGCTAATACTTTAATTTGTGAGGTCTGACGTCTACTTCCGGTATTAGAATCTTCTAAAAAATGAAAATTTCTCAACTTTAGACTGTTTTTGCGATTGATCTAATTATCATGGAAGGATGATTTTTTTCGGGGTCTTTTGCAATTTGCTACATTTGCAAAGTCCCACTCTGTGCCACGAGTGGCTCTAGTTATTTTTTTTGTTGTTGCTCAAATCCAATGATCTTTATACCAAAATGACTTTTTTTAAATAAAATATTATTTCAATTTAATAGTCAAAACTGAATATTCATCAATTTCTCATTAGAACATGTAGATTTTATTGAAATAAAACTAATACTATTGAAATAGGACAATATAAGTACCGTTGTTACAGTTTCTTCTTCCTTCTTTGTACTTAAATCTAAAAAAAGGAGATATAAACAAATAAAACAACCAAAATGAGCGGATACTGTTTTCAGATATTTTATATCCTATGTTTGAAGCAATTGTTAATATATTGTTAAATAGTGTCGTGAAGTTTCAAGATACACTGTGATACATTAAGTTGCATGAAATCATCAAATATTGTACTAAATTTCGTCTTAGAGACATGATAAAGGTAGCAAAGCTTATGAACGGAAGCTCTATTCCTCTACATTGTTTCAATAATAGTTTATGTTCAAAAAAATAAACAGCAAAATAATCATTGACATTGAATATTTAAAAATATCACTTTAATTTTTTATTATTTTGAGAGTCATTATGTGCATCTCTCCCAAATACATATTTTTTTTTACTTCTTTGGCCTAATTAACATGCTTAGAATTTATCTTAATATAGTTTGAGATGGCTCCCTAGTCGTTTCTCTGCTCGATTTCTAGTCATTTTCTGGGCGGTTCATGTTTTAGTAAGTATGCAGAAATAGGCCTACATCAATTAAAAAAGATGTGGGCAAATAAAAATGACTTGTATCTATCTGGGTACTAGAATGCACCCTGAACCCTGGTAAGTGAGCATGATCTTTACTCACTGAGCTACCAAGAATCACAACAATCAGAGATCACGCCCAGGTGATATCAGCTTTGCTTAAAACAGAAATACAGGGGGCTAATCTACCTGGTTTTTTAATTGGAGCAACTTTCAGTCTATTGTTACCATCAACTCCATCTGTAGCCGCTCTTTCCATTAAAGCATTTCTCTACAACATATAAATAACATAATTATTCTATATATTCTACCAGTTAATACGGTCATTTATGACGTCATTATCTGACAACTGTCAGTGGGTCATCGTATCACGAATGCGGGTTTTGACACGGTCTTATTAACCCGTATTAAACTAAGCCCACTACACTTCGATTTCTTGAAGTGGAAATGAGATTGGTAACATTTACATCTGGCCAATCAGATCGGTAGAATAGAAATGGGGTCATGTACACAAAACACAACACCGCTTTGCCACCGCCAGTTTGAAGAGATAGGAACACATTCGTTCAAAGTAAATATTCTAAAGAAAGGTTTTCATTTTCTCCCGGCTTCAATTCTTTAACGAAAATCTTACTCAATTCTGTACCGTGTATTCATCAAAATATGTAAAGGCACACTGCTTTCGTTCGCAAACAAAGCGTCATAACGAGTGAATTGTTTTGGTTGGCTGAAATTTTCTACCAATACAGTAGGGTCAATTTTGATTGGACAATATTTAGCTATGAACACACAATTTTTCGGCACCGAGGAAGTATGACGAATGGGCATGAGGTTTGGATACGACACCAGTGAGCTTGCCTAGCAAGCTATCTTTATGATTTCTGAAAAAATGTTTCAATTGTTGGACAACTGGGTTGTATTGTACGTCGAAAAAAATCGTATACATCTAATTTGTTGACGTGCACTAAATCTGACGTTCGTTAAATTCCAAATATTTAAATGTCATGGGAGTGGTGATATATATATCTAACATAATATCATATATATAATAGATAGTAATTTCTTGTGAATCTTTGAAACCAGAATTCTGGGGCTAGAGCCATGAAAGGGACAAGGATCGTTATTCTATTATTATTCTATTATAAATTATGTTTATTCGTAATGATTCGTCTTGTAAGGATTTGTTTTGCTGCGGAGCCCTTTTCAATATTTTTTAAAATTATTTCGTTTTAACGATATGCAGGCTATATGTCAATTTTCAACAAAATTATGCAAAATAATAATAATAGAGTATTACCCCCAAACAATTGCAAGAAATTGTTTTATGGTATTATTTTGTACTACAAGGTTTGCAGAACAACATACAAAAAATTACCAAAATCCCTTCACCAGAATGGGTCCAAATTTGAAATTTAAAAAAGATGACGTTGTATATATCTTATCTGCTTATACACACGGCCTAACGTAAAAGTTACACTTGTCGCTCTGCAACTTATCATAGTATTGAATTGCGACCATTATTCAAACTGAATAAATAAAATGTATAATTGGTGAATTAATAGCATGAAATTCTAATGATTGCCAAATGCTGCTAATAGTCGGATAGAACTATTAGATTTCCCTATGGTTCTAGCTTGTAGAAAAATTTATAGAGCCTCCTGAAGTTTGGGTCTCGAGTGCCCTTATTTGACGCGCTAATAAATTAAAGAAAGTTTGGTCAATATAGGTTTTAACATTTCGTTTTAAAAGTTAATTATTTCAGGATAGGTAGAACAACATAGGAAGGGCCACAATGACCGCCATTTCCTGTATTTCTTATAATTTTGCAACTAGAAATACAAATACAAAATGCATGTAATGTAAATATATACCCCAGGAACTCCATAGATAATTACTGTTAAATTTCGAAATACATAAGTAGCTCTATTACTGATTAGTTTAGCTAAAATAATTCCTGTTCCTGTGACTAAGGTACGATTGGTGAAAAAAATTGGCGCATATGTCCTTTTAAGATATATATCAGAAAGACACCTACCACTCTATATATCACTGTAAAACATTTACTTTCATATTTTTACTTGTTAATACAGAAGCTTCTGGAAACTATTTGCAACTGTTGAAAACTACTATAAACTTATGAAATCACCTTTAGAACAAAAAAAAAAGGATTCTTTACGCTGAAGATTGGCAAGTCTATGATCAAACCATTGAACAGTTTATGATGCGGCATCTGCAGGATTGACTCCCGACCACGGAATTAAAGACTGTACATTGACAAAGAAGGTACATGCCCTTTTCGCTGTGCTCCTATCTATGCAATCAAAAGGCATAGTGCAAACTCCGCATCTTTTTGAATGGTTTCAGGAACGTTCATGAGTAAAGTTTTCAATATTGTCCAAAGGAAATGTGACTATGACAATCGACACCGGTTCGGCTGAAAGGGAGCTTCACCTGAACTAACTCTTTTGACCGATAGATCTGATATTTTTAGCAGCATGTTTTGTACCTACAATATATTTGGATATCACAGACTAAATGCAATTACAATAGTTCTTTCGTATCGTATGTAAGAAAGTGTAGCGTTTATTCCCAGATGTCCTACAGGTTAGTGGGCATCTCTAACTATTAATACTGAAACTGGAGATAGTTTAAGTAAGATGATTTGGCCTTTTTCTAGATTTTAAAACTTTAATGTTTAATTTTCACAAATTTTAACCACATCAACTAGATATTTTAATTGTTTAACGAAAAATAGTTTCAATCAAACCCTCCCTTCCCCGAAATAGAATAATACCTTAGTCGACAAACTTTATTCCAAAATTTTTTTCGAAAACCAGTGGAGGTAAGGCTATCAAACGTATCCAGTATAAACAATATAGTTTATAAGTGCAAAATTTCAACAGCCTGAACTAAATTAACAGACCGCTGTACTTCTGGACCATCATTTAAATCTGGCAAATGATCTAAAACTGATGGGCTGGGTCAATATTCATCAGTTCACAATTTGGGTCCTTTAAACTGTTTTCTCTGAAAGTCCGCGAGAAGCCAAGTCAGCTGGGTTCTCTCGGGTGTTCACATAATTCCATTGATCCACATTTGAATTGCGTCGAATAATTAATATTGAGTCTGACAGCTACAGATGCTCTGGTAAGCTCAAATTGTTAATACTAATGATTAATGCACAGGTTATCGTTCCGCAGCTTATCGTATATGTAGCTTAAACACCGTAATACATCCGAAAACTTTGGCCATATCAATTCCCAGTGAAAAATGTTTTTGCATGTAAATAGGTAGGTTCTAAACTTAAGTCATCGGTTGGGCCATAACCATAGACAGCGAACGGGAACTTGATGAAACACCTACTGTCAAGATCCGATATTATAGCTATTCGTCCTAAACGGAACTTCATCAAGACAACTTTGAGACTGTTAGCGAGATAAGGTCCAGTTAACAAAACATCGATTTAAGACAGACCTTGACATTTTTAAAATCGTAATTATCGGTGTCAAATGTCAAAATTGGACCCTTTCTGGTGAAGGGATTATGGTAAACTTTTAGTTTGTTGTTCTGCAAACCTTGTAGTACAAAATAACATCATAAAACAATTTCTTGCAATTTATTCAGGGTAGGGGGTATCATATTTTGGACTGGACTAATTAGTGTTTGATGACGTCAGTAATCGCGAATGGCCTTAAGTGATAAAGCACTATTTTATGATAAGAGATGTCATCAAACACACCGTTTTAGTTGAAATACAGGAACCAAAGACGTCTGATCGAAAATAAGAATGGTGC